AAGATCTTAATAAGGTGTGCCCGAAGGACTCATTCTCACTGCCAAATATCGATCAAATGATTGATGCCACAGACGTGCACGAGTTAATGAGTTTCCTTTATGCTTATTCCGGTTATAACCAAATCAAGATGAGCCCAGAAGATCAGGAAAAGATTTCGTTTATAACAAATTTTAGTACATATTGTTATAATGTGATGCCCTTCGGGTTGAAGTCTGCTGGAGCCACTTATCTACGGCTGGTGAACAAGATGTTTGAAAATCAAATAGGAAAAACTATGAAAGTTTATATAGATGATATGCTCGTTAAGTCTTTTAATGCAGGTGACCACCTTAAACACCTGTAAGAAACTTTCGACATCTTGAGGAAGCATAACATGAAACTTAATCTTGAGAAATGCGCGTTCGAGGTTACTTCTGGTAAGTTTCTGGGGTTTCTAGTCTCACAAACGGGAATTGAGGTAAACCTCGATTAAATCAAGGCCATAGATCATAATTTTTTCTGCTCCTATGACTCTACGACATAATGGAGTAGTCAAAAAACTGAATAATAAATCCAGGCCAATTGATTTGCCTCCCACTGTCCAAATATTCCATAAGGACCAGGTCCATGAATGTGGCAATGTGCCTCCTTTCCTGCTTAGGCAACACGACTTTGTTAACAAATTCGAATAGCACTTTGTGGGGTGGCTTCATCTCATATTTGTATATAGCCTTGGGCTCAAGCTCTTCTTCATTGTCACCAAACTTCCTTATAATGGTAAGGGAGGTAGGGATATTCTCTAGACTTGGCCATTTGAGCTTCTTGTAATCATTGTACCCTTCAGCAGGTACACCTAAGATCTCTCCCAGTTCTTTATCATCAAAACTCACTGTCGCCCCCTTTACCACACTGGCGACCGTAACATTTTTTATCTCACAATTTGCCATGAACTCCACAATCTCAGTTCTGGCAAGTTTTCCATCTATCTGAAGGACCATGTCCTTCCAACCCTGCAATTATAACTTCTACAACACTATCAACATACCTTCCTCCTCCAAGTCCACGAGGAGTCCACTTTTCAAGATGGTTCTCTTCCCAAACTTAACCATCTTGTCCTTGTCAGCATCAGATTCTTCTTATTCTTCTTCTCCACTCCATTCTTCTTCCTCCACTATTTCCACTTTTCTAGATTTCAATGCAGACCTGGTTCTTTCACTTTCAGTTTCACTAGCCCTAAGTTCCAGGTTTTTGCACTTAGCTTTTAAAACTACACACTCTTTTGACGACTGTTCCTTTTCATTATTTACATCCTCAGATTCATCAATTAGCTGTAGAAGCAACTCAGATAACCTTCCCTTAGACAAAAATTTAATCTTGCCTTTGAGATGAGAAACGCTTACCTCGGCTTCTTCTTCATTAGATTCTCCAATAGCCATAAATGCTCGTTCATCATCATCATCATCATCATCATCTGGGCTTTCATCCTAGCTATCTCCCCAAGCAGCGACCATAGCCTTTGTTGATCCTTTGATGTTGCTTTCTCGGGTTGAACCTGTTCCTTCTTCCTGTTCCTTCGTTCAGCTCTTTCCTTCTCCCACTCTATTTCCCACATAGGATAGTTCTTGATGTGGTGATCAGTATTTCCACACTTGTAGTAGCCATCATTGGTTTGTTTTTTCAGGAGCTTTTGATTTGTTGTAGCTTCCACTTCTTGAAGAACCCTTTCCTCTCCTTAGGTACTTCTTGAAGTCTTTGGTGATCATGGCCATTTCATCATCTTCCAAATCAGACCCTTCAATGATTCTGAGAGCCAAACTCTTTTTCTTCTTAGGTACATCCATCTTCATGGTCTGTCTCCTAAGTTCATAGGCAATAAGATTTCCAATTAATTCATCCAGAGGGGGAATGGCAATATTCTTTGATTCCTGGATGTCAATGATTTTACTCTCCCAAGTGATAGGCAAACTTTGGTCAATATCTTTTCTACCCTTTCTTCTTCAGGAATAATCCTTCCAAGAGATTGTAGCTTCTTTGTCAGTGTAGCGAACTTTGTGTACATTTCTTGAATGGTTTCTCCTTCCTTCATAGCAAAACTCTCATATTGAGAGTACAGTAGAGTTCCTCTGGATCTCTTCACCTGAGGTATTCCTTCATGAGCCACTTGTGTGTCCCAAATTTCCATACCAGTGGTACAGTCTTGGATTATGCTGTACTCATCTGGATCAAGTCCACAAACAAGCCATTTCTTGGCTTTAGCATTCTTCTCTCAATTCCTCAAGTCCTCAGTAGTGAAATCAACTCTTGTCCTTGGCACATCTACTCCTTCGACATTTTTCTTCAAGGTAGCCAATGGACCATCGAGATAATATCTCATAGCTCATAGTTCTCTCCTATAACATGATCTCACATCCTGTTTTTCCACCAAGTATAGTACTGGCCATTAAAGAGTGGCGGCCGAGCAGTGGATTGCCTTTTCCAGTTTTCAGATGGTGCACTCATGTTGATCTTCTCCTAAAGTGTAAGCCTCTTCGAGGAGAACCCCCTCTGATACCAATTGATGTTTGGTACCTCAATGCCACACAAGAGGGGGGGGGGGGTGATCTGTGTGGTATCCAATTTCCGCGTGCACAGATTATAGAAGGACCTGGTTCTTCTATGTGTTCCTTATACTACTGTTGCGGAGATAACAAATGCGGAAAGTAAAGAACATAAGTATTTTTACGTGAAAAATACCCGGCTCAAAAGGTAAAAAAAAAATACAACCTACTACTTAGTAGAATTTTCCCAACACTTCACTAAATCACTGAGCCAAAACAACATTTACAAAAATTCTTTGTAAACCTAAGGATGACCTCTAATCCCATTGTGGCAACCAACCTCTAACTGTTGCGACAACTTCAAGTTAACTCTAACTTGAATACTCAGAGTACCTAATACAACTGCTTCTAGAAAAAGCTAAAAGGTACAATTTGGAAAATACCTACTATAATGAAACTTGAATAAAAGACAGACACTTGGAACTGGTTCTTCTATCTGGTTCATATAGCTTCAGGTTCACATACTTGAATCACATAAGAAGTACTTGCAAAATGTTTACCTATCTTGCTCTCAACTCACGTTTAACTTCAGCTTTTGTGCGTAAATGTAAAATGAGAACATCTTGTAATTTATAGAGTTAGTAGAATAGGAATAACTAGAGTTCTAATGCTATACTCTTCCATGGGGAAAGAGTTCTAGTTATCTTCAACTTCTAACTCCTCCCTTATCTTGGATAATGTTCTCTTCGAGTAAGGAGTCCTTCTCCTTATCATTTATGCAACCTTTTCGATTAGGAAATATCAGATATAACAACTTAAGCTTATCTCCTTCTCGTGCATTCCTTATGCTCGAATCTGGCCGTGTATGTGTACTCTGTGTATGGACATAGTTCATGCTTGAGTTCCTTTATCAATCATCAAAACAAACTTCACTTGGGTAACATAAAGGAAAGACACGTGGAACCCAAGATGGAGATGGCCGAAGATCGAATGCAGCTATTCCACTTGTCATTGGAAAGGATAACGTTCATAAAGGTGTATTAAATATTCTGCGCCCGATAGCATTTAATAAAGAATATTTTGCAGCATTAATGACGACGGCCCGTAACAGAGAATTGACATTTATGTTCACCGTTACATCTTCATCAATGACCCTCATAGTTGACATTAAAGGAGGGCACGATCCTAGGACCTCCTTCTCTAAACAAAACTATAAATAATGAGCCCAGTTATCATTGTAAAAGACACGAATTTTCTGGCTAACTTACACTACATTCTATACAAAGCTTAATACTCCCTCCGGTTCACAATAAATGACCAGTTTCCTTTTAGCACGCCCATTAAGAAAATGCTAAATCCTATTCAAAAATATCTAGTATGACTAAACTGCCCTTATTAAATATTGGTCACATAGTTATAGTGAGGAGTGAGAAAACTTTTTAGGGATATACATATAAGGGTAAAAGAGTAAAAGCAAATTGAATTTTTTCTTGATTACCTAACTGGACACTTATTTTGAACCAAAATGAAAAAGTAAACTGGTCACTTATTGTGAACCGGAGGGAGTATAATTTTACTTTCTCGCTTTTTGATCTCATCATTGTTGTGCCCGAAAACCTTGTTCCCGGAACCGTCATTTCTGCCATTTCATCTACATTCTAAGGCTAATAGCCCGTTTGGCCAAGCTGCAAAAATCAGCTTATTTTGAGAAGTGCTTTTTTTCAAAAGTGCTTTTCTCAAAAGTACGTTTGGTGAGAAGCAGTTTGTGCTTGACTAATTAGTTTGAAAAGCACTTCTCAGCAGCAATTATTGTTTGGCCAAGCTTTAAAAAACTGCTTCTAAGTGTATTTTTCTCAAAAGTGCTTCTAAAAAAAGTGCTTTTGGAGAGAAGCTACTTTTTTCTGCTTCTTCAAAACTGCTTCAGCTTCTCCTCAAAAGCACTTTTTTTCCTTTCAAAAGCTTGGCCAAACACCTCAATTTTTGGCCAAAAGTGCTTTTGGCAAAAAAAAAAAACCACTTTTGGCCAAAAAGAAGCTTGGCCAAACAGGCTATAAGTATTGTATAATTCTTAAAGTATTTTATTATTTCAGGATCAAATTAGTTCACCTGTCTAAATATCACGTATAAATTCAATTGTACCATTTTATGGGTAAACAGATGGATCACATAATAATAATTAGTAAATGATACAAACTTTTATTTCATATCATTTAACCATAAAAGGAAACACAGCTGTCTCAGAAAAATTACCAAAACAAATTTGTTGGGAGATATCTTAAAAAGACCGAAGGTATCTCCGTAATATTCTATAATTTTGTTCAGTCAACAAGTCAACTATCGAAGATAATCTATGCAAAAGAGGACCACTGAACCTCAGTGCATATAACTCCTTACTGGCGAATGTATACTGAGACCAATTCACAAACCAACACGTGTCAACCAAAGTGAACCAATTGTAGAGTATATAACCGTAGTATACAAAGCGTGTTTCCTTCCAGCGTACGATAATTAAAAACTTGCTTTGATAAGGCAGCAAAGATATCGCCCTCTCTAAAACCTCTCTACACTCCCCGAATAGTAGTTGATACGAATAAAAAGTGTGTTAGGGTTTTGGGATCAGTGACTTTTTGTGGAAAATTGAAATTGTTGTATGCAATGGACGTTGAAATTGAACAACTTTCTTCTCAAGATTCCGACAAACTTAAACACAATAAGGTAGAATTTTCGTTTTTGTTTATTTCTTTGAGTGATTTTTCTTAAATCGGGCTAGGTTTGCTATGGGGTTGATCGCTTTAGAATTTGATTTTTGGTTGGGTTGTTATTGATGGGTTGATCATAATATTCTGTTATGTTTTTGTGTATAATTGATCAGCTGTTTCCGTTAAAGCTTCGAGCTTTACTACGCGTTGCATTGTTAACTTTTTTTTTGGTCTGGGGTTACTTGTATCATGCGGTTAGATATGTTGTGTGAGTGTTAAAGTATGATCTTTGAAGAATAATTGTGGGGCTGTTGAATTAGCCATTGTAGAATGAAGTAAATTTTGAAGAAATTAGACAATCCTTAAAAGAATTTTTAATATTGTTGGGAATTTGATTCACCGAAAATAGCCTTTCTACCCCCACAAGGTAGGGGTAAGGTGTGCGTACACATTAACCTCCCTAGACCCCACACTTTGGGAGGGTATGTTGTTGTTTTTGTCATTGTTGTTGGGAATTTGATCACCGATAGACCGGGGGGCGGGGGGTGGGGGGCGGGGGGCGGGGGGCTCTCGGGGATTTAAATAGAAAAAAGAAGGAATCTTGAAATTGTACGTGCAGCGGTTGGTTCTAGTTTCATAATTTTACTGTACTTGAGTAGCATACAATACTGTAATTTCCAGCATGCCTATATTAGTTTATTATTTGAACATTGAATCTGCTATTTTCCCTTTGCTTATCTATTTGGTTTGTTTCACTTACAGGAGGCTATGACTAAGGATAATTCACAAACAGTAGCTGGGTCTGTATCCGTATCTCTTGACTCTGGCAATAACAACAGTTCCAATTCAGACCTCTCATTTCATGAAGATCAGAATGATGGAGATGATGGCATGGATGATGACGATGATGATGATGTGTCAAACTATGATGACGACGATGATGATAATGACTATATGTTTTATGACAATGATGATGATGATGAGTGTGATTACTTGAGTATGCAGGCACAATTTGATAATGTTGATTTGCCCGCTGGTGTAGAGGCAACAGTTTCTTGGTTGAATGAACCTGCTCCCAGTTCAAAAGCGCCTTCCCAAGTTACCTCTTCTAGTCTTCCAGTAGGCGCTGGGACATTGAAACCCACACTTCCTGAGCATGGAAGTAGTAGTAACTTTGCTCAGGCCCCTGCTTCAAGCAGTTCTCTAGTGTCTGTAGAGTCAAGTTCTCGAGGAAAGGAAGAGGCAACTGAAGAAGAAGCCATGAAAAAATATCAAAGTTTTAAGCATTTTGATGTGGTAGATGACTTCTCAGATCATCATTACAGTAGCTTGGGCTTCCAGGGGCAACAGGTAACTTTTAAGGAAATTTCTTTTGCTTTGCAGGTCATCTTATAGCATTCTAGTTGGTCATGTTATGTGATTATGCTAAGTTCTGCTGTTACTTTTTTTTAACAGCCACCTAAGGCCTGGAGTAAGAAAGTTCAGGATGAGTGGAAGATATTGGAAAATGATTTACCCGGTGAGTCAGTTGCTGCTATTTAGTGACGTGTATTTTTGTGTCTGCTGTTTTGTAACTTTTTAAAATTTTTGTTGGTAAATGTCTCTATGTTGGTTTCCTGCTGTAGAAGTCTTCTGAAAGTGGTATTTCGCTGTCTTCCTGACATTCTTACGCAAATCCTTTACGGGATGTGAATCCACATGATGGTAAATGCATCAATTGGTTCGTGTCATGTGTAATTCCTGAAAAGATATGTGTGATTCCTAACGGACATCCTTTGCAATTAATATTTTGACGCATTGATTACCATAAGTAAATGATATACAAAGCTATCCTTGCTTTCCCCACTGTCATTCCCCTTCCTCAACTTCCTTATCCGCTGCTAAATTTATGACTCTATCCTCTTTGTGGCATGCTGCACTGTCTGTTTAATCTGGAATAAGAGACAGTTTTTGTGAATTGACTTTGTGGGATGTCCTGACGTAGGAAGATTGCTGTAATTCTATCTGATGCATTTGAGGATCTATGTTGAACTCATTTCGCTCTCTCGTACTCAGACACAATATATGTAAGGGTCTATGAATCAAGGATGGATCTCCTTAGGGCTGTCATCATTGGACCACAAGGCACTCCATACCATGATGGTCTCTTCGTCTTTGATGTCCTGTTCCCACAAAACTATCCTGATGTGCCACCGGTATGAATTTGTGTGTTCGCGTTTTTTCTTGATTTTGTAGCATGAAAATGTTAAGATGTTTATTTCTAATTTACCTTATAAAATGTTTTAAGATATTTATTTCTGATTTACTTTTTATTTACTTATTTTCTTTTTTTCATTAGATGGTTTACTACTATTCTGGTGGTTTGAGACTGAACCCAAACTTGTATGATTGTGGAAAAGTCTGTCTCAGTCTTCTGAACACTTGGACTGGTAAAGGTAATGAAAGGTGGCTGCCCAAGACATCGACCATGCTGCAAGTCCTGGTTTCTATACAAGCTCTAATTTTGAATTCAAGGCCTTTCTTTAATGAGCCTGGATATGAAGCCTCATATCCCGGACCTGACGGAGAGAGGAGATCTAAAGCTTACAATGAAGATGTTTTTGTTCTATCTTTGAAAACAATGACATATACATTGAGGAGGCCCCCAAAGGTATGACATGTCATAGTTCTTCCGCCTTCAGTTATTCTGTCAAAAGTAACATCCAGTTGGAGCACCTGTGTAGGCAAATAATGTCTTTACCTTTCAATTTTCTGGCTCTGCTAGGATTTCACTTACTTATTAATGACCAATGCAGTTGGTATTTAAATTAATGCTGTCCTTTTCATTAAATGGTGTTATGGTTGATCTGACCGCAATACTGGTAACATAGGTTTATCTGGGAAAATGGGGATTGGGTAAAATGTAGAACCTAGTTCATCCTTGAAATCAGTTCTCATCTTAGTGGTGTTTTGGATTTAGTCTACTTGCATACTGGCTTTGCATAGACTATCAGGAGAGAGATTTAGAAAGAAGGGAAGATCAGGTTCACTGTGTCCGGTATGTATGAGTTAACGTATAGTTTCGTTTGTCTTGAGTTAGCTCTGTGGTTGGTATCTTAATACAAGTGATTTCTCAAATGGATTTGAAAGTTGAAACTTTTTCTGCTCAGGTTCCTCAGCTTTGGGAACTGAGAGGTTGGATGTGGTGGCACAATTTCTTTTGACCACTCAATTGTCTATTTTCCATGGGAAAAGCTATAAAGTTGAAAACAAAACTTATTCTACTCTTATTCATCTGTATTCGAACAGATATCACTTGCATATTTTAACTGACAGCCAGAACTTTTAATGAGTACAGTAGTTTTTTGACTTTTTTCAACTGGTTTTGTAGTGCGTATATACATTTGTGCAAGAATGAATTTCTTCTTACCATGCAACTCAGAATGAGAGATAGAGGGAGATTGTTTCTTTCTGGGGGGGAGGTGGGGAGAGGGTGGAGGAGAGATTATCTGAGCAGACTTTCTTGTTTAGTTATATTTAGCTTCCATAATTGCAAAGTGAAATAGCTAAAATAGAAGGAGGGATTATGTTATTCAAATATGAGGTAGTATTATTTTGGTTGTCTCGTAAAGTATGCTTTTTGTCTATGACTCAAACACTTTTAAGATAGATGTAGATGCATCTATAGTATAGAACAGGTTTGTGCACCTGGGATAGAAAGGGGTCGACTTTTGGAGGGTAGGGTAAATGAAAAATGGAGGTTTGTTTTATTCTTAATGGGTGGTGTATGTAGATCAGTAGATGTAAACATTGCAAAGCACTTATCTTTGTTTTAGGGGAGTGAATTTTAAGTATACATCTTCTCAAAGGTTACTTGTTGAGGTAGCATCAAGAAAATTCTAAGCATACATTCTTTTTCTTGAGGTTATTTGTTGGGGTAGCATTCTTCCTTATGACATATCAATATAATCTGGCATGCTCATATTCTTTTATTTCGTGCAGCATTTTGAAGACCTTGTCATTGGTCACTTCCGTTGCTACGCTGTAGACATTCTCTCATCATGCAAGGCATATGTGGAAGGAGCTCCAGTTGGTTCTGTAGTCAAGGGAAAAGTCCAGGGTAATGCAACTGAAGACAGGAGCTCACCAGTATTCAGGGAATCAGTATCCAGAATGATGAATGGTCTTATATCCCTTTTCACTAAGAATGGTGCGAAGGATTGTGACCGGTTTTGTGTCTAAGCCTACAGGATTACACATCAGATCCTATAATATGAAAATCACAAGATGTGTTTCCTGAATGGTCCATTTTCGACTCTTTGAGCACCTCTTTTACCTTGCTTTTGGTGCCATTCACAATTTCGTGTACATAGAAACTCTAATTTTGAATGTAGATAAAACTGGTTACTTTAGCACTGAGGTATATTCTAATGGTACAGGTATATAGTTCTTCCATTCCCTGGGTTATGCGATAAAATCTATCACAAGATAAGTGTGGTAATATTTCAGAGAGCATAGCTCTCTATTTCTTTTCGAATGGCTTGAGAAATACTGGGCAGCATCTCTTGCCGTTTCTGATGGAGGCAATGGTAGTGGTAGGTATGAGAGACATGCTGACATATATTTCAGTTTTGCAATGTAGGACAACTCAAATTCGCTAAATTAAATAATGAACTTTATGACCAATTCAATGATTGAGATTTCCCATGGGGTGTATGTTAATGGAATGATGAACTTGAGGGCAAAGATTAAAGACTCGTTTTTGTTGCACAACCTCTGACGTTGACAGGATTCGTTTATGCAGCTACGAAGTATTCAAATGCATTGTCCATATTGCTCTCGATGATTAGAATTTACTATCCAAAAATTGCTTTTACCACCAATCATACCCAGGACACGAGCATGTATACGAGAGCACAAAACTGAAAATTGCTGAAATTCATGTTGTTTCAACTCGAACGTCTGATATACAGAGCAAAAAACTGCAGCTAGCAATGCACGGTATTTATAAAAATAACAGCCCCCAAAAGTGCAGAAAAATGAAGCTTCATGGAGAAGTGAAAATGTTGCAATTTGCTCGGATGAAAATTTAAAGTGGGAGAGTAGGAGTAGAAAATTCACAACTATATACAAGTAGGTCGATTGCTAGATTGTGATTTTTATCCACCACCAGGTTCAAAATTACTTCTTCTGAAGCTCAGACTATCGCATAAAGCTGAAAATTAAGAGATAAATTGTTACGAGTGAATAGATTGTCTCAGAACAAGCAACAAGTTCTTTTTCCATTTCAAATTTCTTAATACCAACCTGGAAAATGGACAAACTTATGGATTGGAGCGCCTTGATCGTTCAGACCAAGACATGCCACGGTGAAGATCATCTAATTTGAGTCTCCGAGTCTTAGCACTGTGCAATGAAAGTAGTTGCCAATCAGAAAATAGGTTAAATCATTGAAAATTTCTCTTACTAGTTTAACTTCATTCAATCACACATACCCAACAGGACGTCGCTGCCCTCTTCTTTCTTCCTGGATTAGAAACACAGAATTCAGGTTCACAAGACTACTTCAGCAATAAAATCTATAAACTGTTAGTACCATTCAGCAAAGATAACATAATGTTATGATATACAAGATGCAAATCTCCAAGTAGTACAAATTGGTTGGGGTGTAGAACAGGATTTATTCAAGAATAAAGGAGCCAACCACAGGGTAGGCTGATAAAAAGACACTAAAGTCTGCAACTGTTTCATAACAAAAACAACAACAAACCCAGTATAATCCCGAGTCCAAAACCTAAATATTGTGGTTTTGGACTCAAAATACGTTTCTACTGCCTAAAAAAAAAGTTACTTTTCTATATATCGGTATTATACCGCGTTATATATAGCGCGGTATAATACCACGCTATACCTGTTCATTAAAAACTCCTTCTTCTTCCCCAAACGACAGAAACAGACCCCTTCCCCCATTTTTTTTAAAAAAAACCCAGCCCCCCCCTCCCCCCCGCCCCGCCTTTTTTTTTCTCCAAAAAAATTTACCCGTCACACAAAAAGATAAGATTGTAGGTCCCACATCCTATCCAAGGCTTCTATTGTCGTGGTTTCCTCGTTCGGGCTCAACATTTCAATTTATCGACTTTTCTAAAAACATAAATCGAGGTATTCCTATTTAGTTTATGTCGAAACTCGTATAATAATGCATGTTAGTTGTCTTGAATGTGTTTCCATGTTGTTTTGTTTTCGATTAAACTACTATGTTAATTTTATCCGGATTAAGATATTAGTGTTTTAAAAAAATATTTAAAAGTTGAGAAATCATTGTTCTGGTTAATAAAAATGTTCATAAATTTCTTTTGTTTTATATGTAATTTCGTGTGTTATGTTACAAAAATATATTTGTTGTTTTTATTTAGTTTAGATTATTTATTTGCTTAAAGACAAATGCCCTTTTAGCGTAGTAAATGTAGAGCCTTTTAGCGTAGAATAATGTAGTTTAAGTATCTACTATATTGATAGATCAAACACAAACTCTTTCCAATTACAATTTACAAAAATTAATTATTTAATTTATAAAACAAAACACAAAATTATGAAAATATTAAAATTGACACACATAAGAATTCAGGATAGCTTGGTGCTACTGGGCCGCAAATATCGAGCCTAGAACCCATAGATACATACCCTGTCCAATTAAAAATTAATTATTTAATTTACAAAACAAACACACAAAATTATAAAAATATTGAAATTGACACACATAAGAATTCAGGAAAGCTTGGTGCTACTGGGTCTCAAATATCGAGCCTGGAACCCATACATATATACGTTGTTCAATTAAAAATTAATTATTTAATTTACAAAACAAACTCACAAAATTATGAAAAAAATTGAAATTGACACACATAAGAATTCAGGATAGCTTGGTGCTACTGGGACTCAAATATCGAGCCTGGAACCCATGGATATATACGCTGTCCAATTAAAAATTAATTATTTAATTTACAAAAAAACACACAAAATTATAAAAAAATTGAAATTGACACACATAAGAATTCAGGATAGCTTGGTGCTACCGGACCTCAAATATCGAGCCTGGAAATCATAAATATATACTCTGTCCAATTAAAAATAAATTATTCAATTCACAAAACAAATACACAATTAATATTGTTTAATTTACAGTAGACGACATGGACGTGTCGCCTGTGCATCCTGGACCTTTCTCCGATGAGCTATTAGTGTTACAGGGCGATCATAAGTCCGCCTACGTATGAGAGAGAGAGCTACTGGACAAGACTCTCCGCGCCAGGAGAGTGGACGAATTGTGGGACTTTATGAGGGACATACCTTTCCATCCCCGTGTAGTCCAACGCCTGAGGGAAATCGGCTTCTATTGAATTTTTGAGATTGGGCGGCTGCAGCTCGACTGGTCTCTGATCACGGCCTTGATAGAGCGATGGCGACCGGAGACGGACACTTTCCACCTGCCTATTGGCGAGGCCACCATTACGCTGCAGGATGTTGAGGTTTTATATGGGCTGCCTACTGATGGACTGGCCGTTGCACTGCCTCAAGGTATGAGATATATGTCGCGTGCCTAGTATTTGGACTTGCTGCAGCAGCTCACTGGTTTCAGGCCACAGGATGAGACTGCACATTCAGGGGCCAGTCGCATGGGTTTGACAGTTATTAGACAACATTGGCAGATATTGCACCCTGATATCACCGACGAGACAAATGATCTACATATTCACCAGTACACGAGGTTGGTGCTGCTCCTTCTTTTTTTTTGGGGCCGGGGGGGTTCTTGTTCCCGAACACTTCGGGAAATCTAGTGAGTTTTCGATTTCTACATCATCTTCAGCTGCTAGATGTTTTACCCCAGTACAGCTGGGGTGCTGCTGTTCTCGCTTACATGTACAGGCGTAGGCGTATGTGCCGGGCGAGCATGGGCACCCAGAGCGACGTATGTGGTTTTCTGCCGCTTCTACATATGACAACATATTCGAATACTCTGTTCATTACTTCCAATTCTATCTAGTCAAAATTTATCTTAAACTTTATGTCAACCTTGTATGTTAGGTTTGGGCCACGGAGCAGTTCCTACAGTTTCAGCCACCTCTACCACCATTACCTCCGGATGCAACACCTCCGTTTCTCCCTCTATCTAGGAGGTAGGTTCTCCGGCGTGGAAATTACCGAGCCATGATGCTCATCATAATCTCCCCATTGTCAGGGATGTGTTGGATATGCTGGAGGGCGCACAGGTAAATGTGTACCTAGACTTACTTGGTATAAATTCACTTGTGTTGCGCATACTCACTTTTATGTTCTTATTTGATAGTTCATCAAGACGCCATACAGCAACGACTTGATAAGTAGCCTGCCCGATTATTGCTCGGCCAACCGACTGATTTGGAGCACTTTTGTCCCGCTGATGTGCCTCGATATTGTGGAGCATCATGCCACAGAGCGGGTACTTTGCCAGTTTAGCCGTCCGCAGACTATACCGAGGGGGCCTACATGGGAGGCTACACATTATCAGCGGGATGATCGTTCGAGGGCGGGCGACGCATTTGTAGCATGGCTAGAGGTGCAAGTCCACACTTGGCACCAGCGAGCTGACCTGATTCCGCCCCCACCTTCACAGATCGAGGCGGCGACTATTCAGCTCTATACGTCCTGGTACTGTCGCGTTACCCGACTTTTTATTGGGAACCCCGTTCATCAAGCTGGTGGTCGGTACAGACCATACGCCGGGAGGCACGAGGCACTGGTATGTTATTTGGTATTCTTACTTATAACTGTGATATAGCGTTCTGTAGTTAATATTTTAAATATTGTGCAAGCTATTGGTCATCATTTATTCTACTAGTCCGGACTGCAGATGCAGCAGCATGCCGGCGATCTTGCGGTCGCTGAGTATGGCCGGCAGGTGACAGAGCTGGCTCTTCGGACATTGCAACGAGCGAGACAGGGCGAGTGGTTAGATCAAGACCCTGATTATGTGGCGCCAGAGCACCACCATCGGGGTAGGCCTGTCCCACGCCCGAGGGGACGGGCACGAGCCAGAGCTGCCCTACGAGGCAGGCCTGTCCCACGAGGCAGGGGTGCCCCACAGGGTCGTGGGGGATGGCGAGGAGGTGGTCCCCAGCAAGAGGGCATTGAGGCACCTGATGAGGAGGTTGGAGCTGATCTGACGGGTGACATTCCTCAGCCAGACGAGCATCCCAGCAGCATGCCGTCGTACAGCTGTTATACCCCATTTTAACACGGGTCAAACTAGAGTATAACAAATTGGTAATTCTGAGGTTTAATTAATTAAAGAGAGTCGCCATCCAAGTAGTTTTAAGGTGAATTAGGACACCAATTTTAGCTAAGTAATTCTTAAAGTTAACATGGTCTGCTTAACCTTAGAGATTCCAGGTAGGGGTTCTAATTAATCTTATAGGAAA